TGTGTGTGTGTGTGTGTGTGTGTGTGTGTGTGTGTGTGTGTGCAGGTGTGTGTATGTGTGTACGAGTGTGTGTGTGTATGTATGTGTTGTGCGCACGTGTGTGTATGTGTGTGTGTGTGTGTGTGTGTGTGTGTGTGTGCAGGTGTGTGTATGTGTGTACGAGTGAGTGTGTGTATGTGTGTGTGTATGTGTGTGCACGTATGTGTACGAGTGTGTGTGCAGGTGTGTGTATGTGTGTGTGTGTGCCTGTGTGTGTGTGATGTGTGTGTATGTGTGTTTTCGCATGTACGGTATGTACGTCCGTGTGAGAGAACGAGTGTGTATGTATATGTGAGAGTGAGTGAGAGAGAGAGAGAAAGAGAGAGATAGAAAGAGAGAGAGAGTGAGAGAGAGAAAGACAGAGAGAGTGTGCGTGTGCGTGTGCGTATGCATGCATGCTTGTACGTGTGCATGTATCTGTGTTATGAGTGTGTGTGTGTGTGTGTGTGTGTGTGTGTGTGTGTGTGTGTGTGTGTGTGTGTGGAGACGAAAACAGACGACAAAACGTGGTTAGAGAGTAGGAAAGGATGTGAACATTTAATAGGTTTTTTTTCAGTACAAATATACACATAACAGATTCTAATGCCGCATAGAAAGACTAGATTACAGTTTTTACACCTACCAAATCCAAATATACAAATGACGTCATAAGAAGTCCCAATACAACAATAACAAGTTCAAATGTAAACATAGAAATCTCAAATGTAACATATAGCAAATTCAAATGCCACATAGCAATTTCAAATGTAAATATGCTTGAATTCGAAAAAAGAGGCTAAAACGATGACAGGTCCGATAGCCTAACCACTAGCCTACGCACGCCATTAAATCGTATTTCCTTATTAGGAAGCGTTTTCACAGATGGTAAGACAAGGTATGCAGGTGGCAAGATATTTCACCTCGAGTCTATTGATGAAACAAAACTGTTAAATGAGCAAAAAAATATAAAATAAGAATAAAAATGAAAATGAAAATAAACAAGTTTAAACCTTCCAAAAAAGAAGGGTTATGATAAAAATCCACAGACTGCTGGTATAAATAATATATAAAACAGTATAAAGGTTATAACCAATTTGATGACAGGTAAGGCCAGGTTTACTTATAATATATTTGCACAAGATACTACTGCATGACAGGAGGCATTGGCATAGGCTTGCATTGATGATCTGAAGGCCGCTGTCATATTCACTATAGTCACTGCTTCGGTTTTTGGTTCCAGCATCTGGGCAAGTGTGACCATCCCTTGTTGATGAGTCTTCTGAGTGAGCATTAATCGATCTTTCGCTTCACCGAGCCTCGGTTTCAAATCGCATTTTCAAATTCACAAGCGTTCTCGTAGATGTTTTAAAAAAGTGTGTAGGGGAAAGATATTCCACCCCCAATCTATTGATGAGTTGCTATTTAAAGCTTGCCTTAATGCACAAGCGTTGTTAGATACAAAGCACACCTCGTTGTGGGATTGTTGAAACAGTTTCATAGAGGGATGGGTTGAAATGATAGCTGCCATTCCCTCTACTTGAAAGTCGTAAAAGACCAGAGCACCCTCGGTACGTACTAA